GTGTGTGTGGTGTGCATGTGTGGTGCGTGTGTGTGGTGTGCATGTGTGGTGCATGTGTGTGTGCCCTGGCATGCGTAAAGGGTTAGAGGATATCTTTAGGAGCTGGTTCTCTCCTCCTACTGTAGGATCCAGGGATGGAACTCAGGCATCAGGCTTGTGAGAAAAGCGGTTTTATCCTGAATCATCTCACCAGCCCTAAACTACAATGTCCTGTGCTTTCAAGTCTTGTTGAACATCTCAGCAGTTGTGAGGTGTGATTTGTATAGGTCCATGGGAACAGACGTCCTGTCTCCATTTGTATTCCTGTTGGCAAATACAGACAGCTGGGTCACACTCGGAACATACCAGCCAAATAGTGAGCAGTCTCCTGAGCTGTGAGTGTGTCCCTGTGTGCTTCGCTGTGTGCTTCACTGAGGCTACCACAGTTGTGAATCTTTTTTACATAGTAACAATATTAATTGTACATTTATCTTGTATCTTGTCATTAAAAATTCTCTTATTAAAGTGTTTCCAGGAGATTCTCTTGGGCATTTCGAGCAGAGTTACTTGATCCTCCCCGATTTTAACAGTTGAAATTACACACACACACACACACACACACACACACACACACACACATATTTAATAAACTAGAATTTCCAGAATCATGTTAAAAACTAAGAAGGGAAAAGTACCCTGTATTTCACTACACGTTTTTGGTGTAGCGCTTTTTCTCTATCACGTACCATGTGGCTGGCTGGGTTAGGTCTGACAGCAACAGTCATGGCCCTTTATTCTTTATCAATTTATCACTAACACTCTTATTTTTTGACATTTGTTTTCTCCCAGTCACTCTGCTGGTCACTCACTCAGGCTTCACATATGCCTCAGATGTGACTTCAGGGCCCAAATTGCTTAGGGTCTAGCTGGGAAGACCCAAGGTGTTCTGTTCTGAATTAGAGCTCTCTAATTCAACTCTAGGGACACAATCTGAGGGGGAGGCACCACCCAAGGACCAGGGATGCTGAGTTGGTGGGCATGGGGCTGTGAGGTTGAGCTCAGGGGTCTGGATTTCTAATAGAGAACTGAAACTTGGGAATCAGGCCAGAGATGGACGGAACTCCAAAGCCATAGTCCCCATCCCTGTCATCAGCCTCAAAGGAGGCACCTGGATGTCCTCCTGCAGAAGAAATTATAGCGCAGAAAGGAAAAGGATGATGGGAAGGCGGATGGATGAGACCCAGTCTCTAAAAAGAGGGACACAGAAAACAATTTCCTTCTGAGAAGATCTGGGCCTGGGGCTGAGGCCGAGGAGGCAGCAGAGTGGGCTTGGGTAGTGGCGTGATGGGGACACTGGGAGGGGTAGCAGGGGTGAGTCTAAGTCTCTGCCACATGCATCTCCCACGCCTCCTCATCTTCCCAGCCCCTCGACTCCCCACACTTACCCTGGAGCTGATCCTCAGGCCAGCACAGACAGGCAGGAGCAGAGAGAGCCAGCTGAGTTCCCCGAGTGTCTTTAAATGTACTCCTCCTCCTTCCCCTGGGGGCTGAGGTGTCAGCTCAGTCTACGGGCAGAGCAAGAGCTGTCTGCCTGACCCATGGTCTCCTAGGAGCTCTGAGAAACCAACTGGTCACCTGACATTCAGGCCTTCCTGAGGTCTGTGCAGTTCCATGTTCCTGTTCTGGAACTAGAGACCCAACAGAGACAGGATGAACTCAGACCTTATGCCCCCATCTCAGCCCCAGCTGATTGCCTGGGTGGCTCTGCCAGGGGAGGGGCAAGGAGGGGGGGTGCAGGGTGTTGATAGTCTAGCAGGCAGGACCTAACTGTTAGAAATGAGGAGCCAGGAAACCAAGGAAAGGAGACTTTTATTGGGTGTGGTGATTTGTGAGTGGTGGGAGGGTGTTGAAGCATCTGGGGCTCCTGTGGAATTTATGGGAAAGGGAGACACTGTGAGTGGGAGTATGGGGGGTGGCAGGTCCTGCTGAGGAGGGATCTTATCACCCCATATTAGTGGCGGGGTATCTAGGGCTGGATGCTTTTAGGTGACTTACTCTGTGGACCTGTGGCAGTGCTACGAGCATCATCTGACCCAACCTGCTTCCCTCCAACCACCTTTTGCCTTGCTTCTCTTTGGGTCTGGGGAAGGAGTGATGGGCTCTGGAAAAGCCCAAGTATTGTTCTTTTTAAAAATAATACCATGGTGGGATGTCCCGGGCAGCTCGCGGAGCAGCTGCAAGTGGCAGTGCCATGCGGCCGGGGAGTCAGGGTCCCCGGGCGAGCGGCAGAGTCAGGAGGCTGGATGTGGTGGACGGCAGAGTAAATGGACATAAGGCTATACATAAAACTAGACATTTATTACTTAAAGAAAGAAAAACATAGACAAACATAGAGAAAACAAAGACACACATACACACACACACACACACACACACACACACACACACACATGCACCAGAGAGAGGAGAGAGAGAAGATGGCTGCGGGGGAGGTCCAAAAGTGGCTGGG